TGTTGCATATATACATCTTAGTCCGCTAACTTGGGCAGCTGTAACAAAATACCACAAACTGGGTGGCCTATAAACAACAAAAATTTATTTCTGGCTTCTGGAGGCTGAAAGTCTAGCTGGTCTGATGAGGCTTTTTTCCAGGTTGCAGACTTTTCATTGTATCCTCACATGGCTCACATGGCAAAAGGGAGGAGGTAGGTCTCTGGAGTCGCTCTCTCTCTCTCTCTCTCTCTCTCTCCCAACAGCATACACAAGAATTTAATAATTTGTTCAGTTGTCTGAATATGATATTTTCTTTTAATATCCCTGAGTGAATTGAAGGATAGGAAGTGGGGAATCTAGCCTTTGCAGTGCTAAAGCCGTGTATTTGCAGCTGCTGGCCCATTCTTCAGGAATTGGTTTATGTATGCCAAAAGATAGGCTTGTAGAACAAATTGTCCCACAAATCATCATAATAGCTTCCAAATAATTTGTGGATTTTAAAAAAAGTTTTTGTGTGAGTTTTTTTTTAATTTTATTTATTTATTTGAGAGAGAGAGACACAGCGGGAGGGGGAACACAAGCAGGGGGAGTGGGAGAGGGAGAAGTAGGCTTCCTGCTGAGCGGGAAGCCCGATGCGGGGCTCAATCCCAGGACCCCGGGATCATGACCTGAGCTGAAGACAGACACCCAACGACTGAGCCACCCAGGCGCCCCAATTTGTTGATTTTTTGACTGTTGTGTGTGTGTTGTCTGATACAGCTGTCACTAGTCAAATGATACCCTTTTCGTGTCTCTGTTGACATGGAGGAGCATGTGTACTCCTCAATAACTTCCCCATCAAACTGATAGTCATTGGATGATGTATAGTCTCAGTACATGGAAAAACAGTCCATGGTGTTCAAATATTTCTGTGTCATTTGCCAGTGTATTGAAGGATATGATAAAGGATACAAATCAACGGCCAGATGAAGCGATCCATAGGGCAAGGCATGGGAAAAGGACACAGAGCTTCCATGCTCTCTCCAGGCATGCCATTCTTCCCCTACCTCCACGTGTTCACCAACCTGGGAGCTCATGGAGTCTCTTCTAAGGGCACTAATCCAATCATGAGAACTATTTACCTCCCAAAGGCCTCCTAGTACCTTCACTTTGGGGGTTAGGTTTTCAACATCTGAACTTTCAAACATTCAGATCATAGCAATACAACATATAAATGTAAGACATTACAGATAGTTATTATACAGCACAATGTATAAGCCATAATGTTATGTTTATTGTACAAGTGAAGAAACTGAAGTTCATACAAACTATTACTTGGCAAAGGTTACACAGATAATTCAAGGCAAAGCCAGGTTTCCACCTCAAGTCTGATTTCAAGTCTAGTGAAACCTTTCCATTTCATCTTGGCTCCCATCGCCAAGACCTGTGACCAAACAAGTTGAGGTAGCTTCATGACCTGAAGCAAGTTGTACCCTTTACAGAAATGCAATTCAGGCCTGTTGTATCACCGAGACGGGTCTTAGAGTTTGCAAGACTCAGACGTATGGATCTGCATTTGTGAATCCCCATCACACACTAAATCATTTCTCATTGTCAATGTATGCCCTATACAGATCTCAATCTCAAAATTCTCTGGACAGGGTTGCTGGGTGGCTCAGTCGGTTAAGCGTCTGCCTTCGGCTCAGGTCATGATCCCAGGGTCCTGGGATTGAACCCCAAGTCAGGGCTCCCTGCTCAGTGGGGAGCTGCTTCTCCTTCCGCTGCTCCCCCTACTTTTGGGTTCTCTCTCTCTCTCTGTTAAATAAATAAATAAAATCTTTTTAAAAAATTAAAAAGTAAATGAGATAAAAAAATTAAGTGCCTAGCATACTACCTCGCATATAATATTCACTCAAGAAATGATACCTAGGGGCACCTGGGTGGCTCAGATGGCTGGGCGTCTGCCTTCGGCTTAGGTCATGATCCCAGGGTCCTGGGATCGAGCCCCACATGGGGCTCCTGGTCTGGCGGGGAGCCTGCTTTTCCCTCTCCCTCTCTCTCTCCCCCTGCTCATGCTGTCTCTCTCTCTCTGTATCTCTTTGTCTCAAATGAATAAATAAAATCTTAAAAAAAAAAAAAGAAATGATACGGGATATGGGGCTCCTTGCTCAGTGGGGAGCCTGCTTCTCCCTCTGTTTGCTTCTCCCCATGCTTATGCTCTCTCTCTCTCTGACAAATAAATACAATTTTTAAAAATATATATATTTAAAGAAAAAATTTCTCTGGACACCAACATTTCCAAAACCCAGCTTCAGGAGAAGGGAAATTTATGTGATTTCACAGACTGGTGACAAACACCACACAACTTGTCCTTTCCATAGTCTTGATGTGTGAAATTCCACATCTGGGCATTTTTTCCTTTGTAGCCTGATAATGACAAATGCCCTTTGACACGTTAGGGTAGATGAATTCATAAGAAACATTCCTTAAAGCAGGTATGTACAGGGTATAGAAAAAGTGTTAGGAAACAAAGCAGGAATACATGAAAATTAACTGGTGAACCAAAAAGAGCAGGTGGGCAACTATTACAGTTTTGCTTACTGTAACGCACTGAATTGCATTCCCTAAAAGATAATGTTGAAGTCCTAAACCCCAGGTCCTTATGAACATGACCTTACTTGGAAATAGGGTATTTACAGATGTAATCAGGTTAAGATGAAGTCATATTGGATTGGGATGGGCTCTAAATTCAATGACTAGTGTCTTAATAAGAGAAAGGAGAGGGAGATGTGGATGAAAAGATACAGAGGAGACACAGAGAAGAAGGCCATGTGAAGACAGAGGCAGATACGTGAGTGATGCAGCTAAAAGCCAAGGAATACTAAGGATTGTGGGAGCTCCCGGAAGCTAGGAAGAGGCAAAGAAAGATTCTTCTCTAGAGCCTTCAAAGGGAGCATGCCAATAACTTGATCTCTGACTTCTGGCCTCTAGAACTGTGAGAGAATAACTTTCCGTTATTTTAAACCACCTAGTTTTGGTAATTGTTACGGCAGCCTCAGGAAGCTAATTTATCTGCTTAACACCCCATCCTCAATTTTAAGTTTATTCTGTGGGAAAATTTTGAATTTGAAATTTGATTTAATCCATTTTACTAAATAATACTCTTTATTTTTTGTTCCCAAAATATGTCATGATGGCTCTACTCTTCTAACAATCCTATCTCTCCATTCTTTCATCAATGGGCTACCCCACCCCCACTTCCCCACACCCCACACCCCACATTCACTCTGCGAATGTTCACATCTGCCCAGTAAAGAAAACTACTTCCCTAATACTTTTTCGTTTCATGGAAGTTTGCACTCTTTATACTCATATGAGTGGCAAAAATAATTTTACGTACACTATATATTCATCTACTAAAATACAATATTGAAAACATTTCTAATAATGTCTTTTTTTAATAGAAGTATTTTTAAAAATATTTTATTTATTTGAGAGAGAGAGCGCGCGCAGGCTGCGTGCGGGCGCCTCAGGGCAGAGAGAAAGGGAGAAGCAGACTCCCCGCTGAGCAGGGAGACCAATGCAGGGCTCAATCCCAGGACGCTTGGGATCATGACCTGAGCTGAAGGCAGACGCTTACGGACTGATCCACCTAGGCGCCCCTCTAATAATGTCTTATAAATAACGACATGGGGTTTCTAAAAAGTCATTGTCTTTAATCTTTATAAAATTTCCTGGATTCCAGTTGTACAAATAACCTCTGGGAGTTAAATGAAATCGCTTCATGGTAGACTGTTGCTTGATTCCAAAGACATTGCAGAGACTCACCCCAAACCCAGTCAAAATGGATCTCTACACCCCTGCCAAACACTCCTTTGAGAACCCTGTGATTGCCTCGGGGAGGGGAGGGAGGGAGGAAAGGGGGCTGGGAGCCGGCGTGAAAACAATGGCCAACTTGCAACCGCAATCAAATGCCATAGCAACACCGCGTGGTGATTGCGTGCTTATTAGGGTTTTTAAAGTTAAATTTACACAGTTGTCACGGAACCCAGTGGTGAGATAATGAGCTTTACAGTATCTATTTCAGCTCTAGGTTTCTTATTCTGGGAGCTATTCTATCCTAAGGTATCCCCAGCCCTTTGCCTAGCAAGGTGCCAGGCACGTAAAGAAGCCCATAAGCTACAGAATGGTGGTCACAGGGAGACCTGTCTGCCAGTTCTAATAGTGCTCTTTCCAGAAAGAAAGAAAAAAACTCCCATCCGCTGGATCAGTATTCTCTTTATCAGCTGGGAACCAAAAACTATTGCTACCACCATTACTATAATTCTATCCACGGTAATTATCATAAAGGCCTGACAACACCCTACAGATGAACGTTCTGAATAACTGTCATAACCAGGAGATTTAAGACCTCACCAAAAACCAGTAGATGTTCAGAATCCACTGGACAGAAGTCAGTTATGATATAGCAATCCCACTTTAATCTGTGGAGAGATCTGTGTAAACGAGACAACTTAAAAGGAATATATAGATGAGATTTCTTTTTATACACAGCATGCTTGGCTCCAGGCCGCCCCATCATCCCCTCCAGATGCTTGGGCCTGTCCTTAGGGCTCTGGATCGCCAGACTCCAACGGCCGCGCAGCCGTCGCCTCCGCGCCGCCTGCCTCCCGGGACAATTCGGCCCCGCAGGCGCTTCCAGGGGGGCGTCCCCGTCCGCTCCTGCCCTTGAGGCTTTGGGAGCGCCCGCTGGGGAGCCGGAGCTCCGCAGGGCACCCGGGCGTCCCGGCCAATGAACGCGCGCCCCCAGTCCTGCGTCCCACAGCGGCCCTTAGGGGCAGGAGCCGAGCCGGGGCGGCGAGGCCGGGCCGGGGGCGCACGGCGCCCACAAAAGTGCGGGCTTCCCCCACCCCCGGCGGCGACCCCACCTCCCGCCCCCGCTGCGTGCGCGCGGGTGTCCGTCTGTCTTCTCTCTCGACGTCAGTGGGAATTTCCAGCCAGGAAGTGAGAGAGTGAGCGAGAGAGAAAGAGAGAGAAGTGCACCAGCGAGCCGGGGCAGGAAGAGGAGGTTTCGCCACCGGAGCGGCCCGGCGACGCGCTGACAGCTTCCCCTGCCCTTCCCGTCGATCGGGCCTCTCGCCGCCGCCGCCGCCGCCGTCGCCGTCGCCGCCCTCGGCCTGCGCCCCGCCGCCGGCCCCGCTCCGAGAGCCCAGCGCAGCCCAGGCCGGAGACGCCGCGGCCGGGAAGGCGGCACTGCCGCGGCCCGGCCACCGCGCGCCCTGCGCTTCCCTCCGCCCGCGCTGCGGACATGGCGCGGCGCTGACTGGCCCGGCCCGGCGAGACCGCGCGCCCGCTCGCCCGGACCCGACCCGACCCGACCCGCACCGGACCCGCTCCGGCTCCGGCCGGCCGCTGCTTTTTCCTTCAACGGCCCGCAGGCCCGCGCCGCCCGGGAGGGGAGCCCACAGGCGCAGGGAGGCCGAGCGCGGACTCGCCACCACGGTAAGCCGAACTCGGGCCAGTGGGGGCCACGCCGGGGACGTGTGGCCCGAGTCCCGCCACCTACCCGCCCCGCACCCCCTCTAGCCCTGTTCGGACTTCCTCATTCCTGCGCTAACCGCTGGGCTAGACCGGACGGAGGACCAGGTTGACAGTAGTTGAGAGGCACATGGGCTTGGAGAGAGGGGCAAAAGGCACATCTGGACTTCGCAGGGGCTTGTTGGCCAGAGGGCCGCTGCTGCCCGGGCCGTCCTTTCTCCTCGCGTCCCAATGCCAGGCGGGAACCGGGACCTGTGGGGGGAACTCTCGCAAACTTTTTTTTTTTTTTTTTAATGTTCACCCCCACCCCCAGCCCCTCCTGGCGGGTGGCTTGAGGGTTGAGGTGAGCTTCGGAGAGGGGAAGGTGGTTGGTGCAGTGCTGAACCAGATTTCACCTAAGGGCGTTCCATGAAATGAAAGCAGAAGTGTATGTCAGTCCTCTTGACTGGGAAAGCCCTCCCCAGCTCCCCCAAATTGAGTAGAACAGCCTCATTCCTTCATCTCCTACTTCAAAAAGAACTCTCTCTCTCTCTCTCTCTCTCTCTCTCTCACACACACACACACACACACACACACACACACACACACACACCGACCAACCAGGATGTAATGTATTCACCTACTATAGGATCCGTATCTTTGTTTTCAAAAATCAAGGAGGGCCTGGTACTAACCCTACAGGGCCTGGCATTTGAGAAAAGAAATTACCTACTTAGAGCACTTTTTAGACACTGATTATGTAAAGCACTTGGACAACAGCACCGTGTATCATGCATGACCTCTAAAACAAAAATAATGATATAAACAAAGCCTATCCTAAATACAAGTTTTCTTATGGTCTTTAAAAATAGATAACAGTGGAGATGTTTGCCCTGATTTATTGGCCTATACTGAAACCTAAATGGGCCTTGATGATATAGTACTTGATTATCAAGATTTAAGACCTTTTCATGGACTTCGTTAAGTAGGGTTTTTCAGCATTGCAGCTTATTAAATAACTATATTTAACTTAAAGATTTTGTTATAAAGCCCATAATCTGAGAACATGACTAGAGTTTTACTAAAACATTTAATAACTCTGGCATACAAATGTTCTATAAACTGGTGATCTTTGGTAAACACTGAAGCTTGGGATCAAGATGTCCAGTGCTTATTTTTCTAGCAAAACATCTCGGTAGAATATTCTTGAATAGTTTAAATTGCATAGTGTTTGTTAAAACTAAAATGGACTCTTAATTAGAATAAAGTTCTTAGCTGAAGTATGTTTTTTTCCTCATTTTAATATTGTGCTTTCTAGAGATGAATCCTTTTACTGTTTGGTGCACTAAAGAAATGTACATAATTTAAAGCAAAGTATTTTTTGAGCTTATGAGTTTGGGAAGACAGGAAATATAAAGATTTGTTTCCTGTAGCATTTTACGTTTATCATGTAATTAAGTTGCTAAGGGGAGTTGAACATATATCATAAATGGAAACATGAAATCTCCTGAAATTATTCATCCATATTGATATACCTGCAACTCCCCAATGCCCTCTGGAGCTTGTTTAGATAAAATGTCTTCCTGGGCCACAGCCTACTGGACAAATGTGAACACAAAGAAAGGCTCATTATGTGTAGATTTAATGCTGGCACTGAAATACTGCTTGCTGTGAATAGTAAATCACTTCTAACCTGTTTGAAAGACTTTTTAAAGGAAATATTATAATCCAATTAGGTGTTGGTGGGTTTGGCAGTTAGGGCTTGAAAATCTATTATCTTTGTTTGCAAATTTCAATTTGATTTTATGTTCCGCAGCTGGCATTCAGATGGGCTGAATAAACACCCTGTTTTTCAAACCCAGTTAGTAAATACTAGAGTATACATACAAAAATAGTTGTTCCCCTTTGTAAGCACTACTTTGATCTTCACACTTCCTTCTTACTTCTACCTCTTAAGTTCATCTGTGATGACTGAGTTGCCTTTGGTAAAAAGCTTAGTCTGAAATAGCTAGAATGTTAGATTTAGTGATCATTTTCCTCCTATTTCTCTTGTCATGTTCCTTGGAACAAACTGAAGCTAGTTTAAGAAACTAATATTTAAGGCTGGTTTTTACTACTACTTTCAGACTTCCAGATAATTGAAGTAAGTTACTACCTTCACTTTCCCGGATTGCTCATTGTGATAGATAGAAGGGCTAGATAAAGACCTGGCGGCTGCAGGAATCTTGGACTATCATTCAATCAGCAAGATCTTTTTTTTTTTTTCTTTTTTACCTAATTTATGAGAGGTATTCCCCTGTTCAGAAGAGGTGAAAGTTCTGGCTTCTGGGGGGAAGTGGTTACTTCATAATCTTCAATTAGTTTGAACTTGGGAGAAGTAAGAACAGTATTGACATTTTAAAATAATAAGTAAAAAAAATGTGAGTTTCCATGTGGATTTTTGATAAAGTAGTGAAAATATCTTTTTCTTCTTCAGAATTTCTTAGAAGATGTGTTCTTCTGCGCATAGAGATGGCTGCAATAGAAAGTGTGTCTGGAAATGCAGAATAGTTTAACCAATAGAGTAAATACTCAGATTATGCTCCTCCAGTCTACAGATTGAACAGGAATCACATTAGCAGGAATGGATGCATAAGAATCAGTGGCTATGCAAATTAGCAGGGCGATTGTTTTATTGGTTTTCTGTTTATAGTATGAATCATCTAAGGTGGCAAGATCGTTACATACTGTAAGAACAGAAGAAGGAAGAGAAGGAAGAAAAGAATTTTAGTGTCTTAGGACACTTTTAAATGTTCTACTCTTACATCTACATTTATGTCTGATTAGAGTTAATTGACAACTGCTTCTTGGTGACCAGTAAACCACACTGAAGCAATTTGTGCTGCTTTCTGGGAATTCTCATTTGCACTCTTGCACCTTCCACAAATCCTGAACTCCCCTGTAATGTTCTTAGAGGTGAGCAGGTAAATCATCAGAAGCATATATACCCCTATGAGTTGACCCTGTCACTGAGGAGACCTTGAGGATTTTCAAGAACTAGAGGCATTCAGCCTTAGGAAGGAGTGTTTGGACTTGTGTCACAGTCCTACAAGTTAGTTTGGCTCCTTGACTTTTTTTTTTTTTAACAATGAAGATTAATATTTGAAACCACATAATTTGGTAAAGGTAGTAGAGTAACGTAACTAAGACTCTTATCTTTGTAATATTTCATTAATGAGTACCTAGTGCCTCACTATTGAAAAAAATAGCATTCTTTTCATGATGATAAACTCGCTTTGTACCTTTGGTCTCTGCTGTATTAAAGAGGGTATTCCTGGGTGCAAATTAATGTGCTGTCTTTTAATATTTTGGGTGAGGTTGATAGACCTACCCTTGAAAATCAACTAATAGTTTAGAAAATAAGTTGTGAAATAATATTTTATTGCCTCACTACAAATAATTTAAAGCCTAACAGTTTTACATATAAGTAGTATAAGATGTCATTTGTTAAAGATCATAGAATCCTCAAGAGTAGATTATGAATGAAAACGTTTAGAGTATTAATCATAAAAATATCATTGTATTTTAAATTTTAAAAAGAAATCAATTAATTATTATTCTCTCCTTATTTTCCTGTAGTAACTAATAGATTTAATTATCAGTAGTACAAGTTTCATCTGCTTTGATTTGTTGCCTATTTTTGAGATTAGAATAATGAAATGGAGGCTTAATTCCCCATTACAAATTGGCTTATTACTTTTTATTTATATTTCACCATTAGGCCAAAATATTATAACCACCTTTTATTCTGACCCATACTTTCAATAGATATTAATAAATTTAAACTATAGACTCAATTTCCTTAAATGTGAAAAAAAGATTCTGACTGATGGAGCTTTAAAGAATATAAAGATTCTATATGGCTTATTCTTTAAGAACCTAATTATTTTAAGAAATAATAGAAAGGAGGGGCGCCTGAGTGGCTCAGATGGTTGAGCATCAGGTCATGATCCCAGGGTCCTGGGATTGAGCCCCACATCTGGCTCCTGGCTTGGTGGGGAGCCTGCTTCTCCCTCGCCCTCTGCCTCTCCCCTGCTCATGCTCTCGCTCTCCCTCTGTATCTCTCTGTCTCAAATGAATAAATAAAATCTTAAAAAAAAATAATAGAAAGGAGAGGAAAAGAGCTATCTGAAAGAATCAAAATCCTATAGTTCTGGCTGAAAAGAGATCATCTCTGATTTATACTGACAAAGGCATATCTAACATTCAGCATTGTGCTTGTTGGTACTAGTAGGTCATCAATAACTATTTTTTGAGTGAAGGAATGGCATAAGTTTTGTTTTGTTTGTTCAAAATTAGGGCAGCTGTTTTCTACAAGGAACAAAAATTACACTATTTTGCCTTCTGGGAAGAAAGAAACCAAAAACTAGTTCTTGCTTCCTAGATATTATATTCTTATCTAAAGAGCACACACAGTTTACTAGAACAAGGAATTTCTTAAAAAGTACCCAATGCCTTTCAAAAGGAAAGCATTTCATTCTGAAAGATGAGTTTATGAACTGGAAATAAAAAAGGCTTTTAGTTTCCAAGTTTTAGAGGCACTTATGAAGCAAGGTAATAAAGTAATTGAAATGATAATAGGTGCTTATGCAAGTGAAAAAGTGTAACTTTTTGGCTACTCTAGAATTTCCCTGAGCTCCATTGAAACTGTAATTTCAATAGTAGTATCTCCAAAAAAGGAAACAATGCTACAGACACTGCTTTGTAATCCAAAGATTGTTAAAGCCTATCTAAATTAATCAATTAAAAAGTAAAACCAAAATATGTTAAGCCATCCAGAATTAAATACTTACCTAAACCTATAAAAAACGAAGGGGGAAAAGTTATTAGCTGGAAAACCTCAGGAACAAGCAGGCAGTTAGTAAGGTATACTGTATTTTCCACTTTCACACTTTAGTGATTTTGCAATACCCAGGACCTCCTCACATCGGGGTGTTGTTGATTAT